GGGGGGGGTTGGCTTCGTGAGATTATTTGTTTGAATCACCAGGTGATTGTTGTTTTTCGTTTTTGTTAATTTAACCGAGTATAATAATATTACGATTCATTTCTCCCTTTCAGTAACTAAAGACTCCCATATTGTTATATTGTATACGCAGTACAGGCAGACATATAAAGTAAATGTACTCCCCTATTTGCACGTGAAGATGTGGCCTTTTCCAGCTTTGTTGGCTAACCTGATAGCCTTGTTGAGAGACTGTTTTCATGTCTTTTCAGTTTTTCTTTTTTGTTTCCACCTCCTTTGGCTTAGTTGTTGCATTGTTTTGATCTTTCACTACCCTAGAATTACAAAGTTCTTTTTTTGAGAAATTTGACAGTAAGTTTTTTGAGTTTCACAATATGTCATGATTTTTTTAATGCAAATCTTTGAATATCCCGATAAAGACACCGAATAATATTACGATTTTTAGATGGCATATAGAACGTTTAGTTTCTGACCTCACGGCCTTTGTAACCCAAAAAAGCCAAAAGTGTCAAATAGATCTTATTAACTTTCTTAGGTAGCGCTTTATTGTCAGAGATTTGGCATTTGATTTGATGAGGGGGGGGTGTTGCTAACGTTATTGCTTTTCACATTTTTTTCTCCCTCATTTTCTCCTTGTTGTGATTGTTATGCTATAGCATTGGGAATTTTTAGATTTCTGTTTAAATCTCATGACATAACAATTACATTAAACTTGTCAAGACAGCATTTGGGTCCAGGAAAAGCTAAGAGGGATCTCCGTTTCCAAGCTGTATTGGGTTATAACAATATCTCTTTTTGTCCGATTTATTTTTATGATTATCACACCACTTTACACAATACTAATTAAAATATTTATGATTAAACCTTTTCTTTCGTTTCTTTTCATTTTTGTGAGGTTGCCGTGCCGTAAAAGTTAATGGCGGTCATGTACGTCCATGCACTTTCGCTGTGTGTTTGTGATGTTGTTGTCGTAGATGTTTGTTTTGTTTTGCTTTTTTTTTGTTTTTAGGGGAAGAGGAGAGAGAGAGAGAGTTTGTGTTGTAGTAGATCATGGTGTTTTTGTTACAGAGACATACGGTTGCCAGTCCGAGAGCATACCACTAGGCCATCGGCGCCACTAATAATAAAGTGATTAGGGCTACATGTAATTTCTTAGCAAAAACTACTGTTTGGACAACTCCACCGATCTCTCTCTCTCGCTCTCTCTCTCCCTCTCTCTCTCTCTCTCTCTCTCTCTCTCTCTCTCTCTCTCTCTCTCTCTCTCTCTCTCTCTGTTTGGGGGAAAGGGGTGAGAGGGTGTTTGTATGTGTCCGCAAAACGTGGATATACATGTACTTACGTCTACGTGTGTACGAACGTATGTTTGTTTGTTTGTTTGTGTGTGTGTGTGTGTATGTGTGTGCGTGTGTGTGTGTGTGTGTGTTTGTGTGTGTGTGCTTGTGTGAGAGAGCTTATGTGAATGAGGGAGAGAGATAGATAGATAGATAGAGAGAGAGAGAGAGAGAGAGAGAGAGAGAGAGAGAGAGAGAGATTGTTTGTGTTTGTGTGTGTGTGCGTCCGT